TAAGTTAATTCTGATGTGGTGAATTGTAGTGGTGGGGTCATGTTAATAATCCATTAAAATTTGGCTTATATCCACCAAAGTCTCCAAGGTCAACCTAATGATTTATTGGTTGAAAACTGACAAAATCCATATATAACTGAGCAACTATGTTCTTTATAGGGTGCTGTGCATTGTCAAAATATAGAAAGTATATTATATATATATTGATAGATATATATAGATATATATATTGATAGATATAGATAGATATAGAGATATAGATATAACTATAGAGATAGATAGATAGATATAGAAAGTGTATAAAAATGTAAGATATCATATCACATATGACCTCTGACCTCTCCTTTAAGATCAATAGATTGAGCTGAAGGTCACAGATCAGTGATAATAATGCTATACAGAGATCTTTTAAACCACGTCTCTTATTCTCTGTATTGACAACAAGTAGACATATAGGGGATGATATATGGGGATTCTAAATATCACGTTACAGTTTGCATCCATACATCACGTAACATTTGACCTCTGACCTTAGTTTTACATTTTACATCTTCCTTTTTATATTCAAGTTGACCCCAAAATGTGTTTATGTCTTTAAAGAAAGAGAAAGAGAATGAGCTGCTTAGTTAGTTACAACTATATTGGAGTATAGTATTATATAATAAGCTTCAATTATTCATGTGCCGTTACTTACAAATCAATGCCTATTATCCATTACCTACTCTCAGATAATGTCTGTGTAATCAAAGTACACATCGGTCATGCTACATTGATTTTTACTGCACTATAAACTTAGTAAAGTACGTTTAAAAAGAACAAAGAAAACAAAATGAATATATACAAAACACAATACCGTTCCCTTAAAAGTAAAAAGCACTGTATATGTGTAGGTGATTGAGACTTTCCAGTTAAAATGTGTTGAGTGCTCAGTTAGAGTAGAAAAGCTCTCACCTGTTAAATCCAGCCGGCACCGTCATGAACACAAGAAGGTGAAACAGTCACCAGGAGGAAGACGCTACTGTTGTCAATGATTCACTCATAGCAGCTCTACTTTATTACAAACCACATATATAAACCTACAAATGCCAATATGGCAACACACTCATCTACTTCCTGCACATATTTGTGTAGTCTCTTATCCTATAAACTATGGATTATTATCTAGAAACATAGCTACATTTTTGGTCTTTTTAAATGATTAAAACTATTAACAATACATCCAAAGCACATTTAGGTTATTCCGTACTGGATAGGAATGCTTCATATGATTTTAGTTGGGCTGGGAGACGATCAGGCTTCTCTGTCCTCTATTTCAATCCCCGTGAGTTGCTGTATCAGTCTGTTCGGCTGTTATCTGCAGATGACAGTGGTGTCTCCTTCTACGGAAAATCTACTGCAAGCCCTTTCATCTTACAAGCACCGAACTGCATATTTTTCTTAAATGCAGAAAAATCTTCCAATTTGTAGTCACTTTTTTCCCCCCGGAGACATCTAACAGCCTATTGAACAGAGCTACCGAGCTATGCGCCACACATATGCCCTGTCTTTCTAGCGTTGCGATTGCAGGAGGTGGCATCTGCGCGTGCACTGTGTGGCAGGAACAGCTGGTCAGACCCAGACTAAGGGGTGGCCATTAGCGCACTGACCTCACAGGAGCACCTGGAAGAGACGGCCAGCAGGCAGAAAGGCTAACGTTTAATTGCACTGAAAATGCTAAAATGTCCCCGGTGGGGGAAATAGTTGCCCCGGTGAGATGAGAGGAGAAAAGGGGGTGTGTTGCAGTCTTGACAAGGGAAAAATGAGAGAGGACTGGAAAAAGCACTGATGTAATGACAGGTGTCAGGACAAAAGGCACAGTTAGCAATAGAGGCAGAGAGCTATATTGACTGGCAGATGACACACTAAAGTGATCAGCCGTTTGACGGAGTGCCAAACTCCGGGAATAACACGTTTTCAGTCAGAACAATCCCGACACAGCCTAAAAACAAGCTGTCTAACCCCTGCAGATTCTCTTGCTTGCAGTGCAGGTCCTCATGTAACTTATTCAAGACTCTACCAACCTGGCAATATTCATGTTGGCAGATATGTTAAATAAGTAATGATCCTACCGCTGCTGAGCATATTGACTTTTTTTCCTCTAGAAGCTTTTTCTTATGTCCTCAGGTCTGCGTGTTTTTTTTCTCCCTCTTTGTGATTTTAAGTAATAATTGATGCTTTTCTCCTCATAAATACTTTGCCGTGACTAAATCAATATCAATTACTTAAAGGTTTTCCTTTGATAGGACAGCGCAGGGCATTTCCAGGAAATATTCTCGCTAACATCTCGTAGATTAGAAAGCAAACAACCATCGTTTCACAATCATTGCAATAACTGCTCACGTTGTGTGTTATTCCTTTACAGTTCAGCTCTTTGGTTAAATATTGATAGATTACGCCGCTGAGATGGCTTTATGTAGATGTAAAGTAAGATAAAACAATAATAAGCCATCGCTGAAGCTTTCTTGTGACTCATGTTACAGAAAGGAGTAGAAAAAAGCAAACGACGAACTCATCATTCGAACTCTGTCGGTGCGCATGACCCTTATAAAACTGGCATTTACGAGCCTCTCCCAACAGTGTGCTGAAATATTGCTTTTATATTGTGCAAACTACAGTGAGATCTGTAGGGTCAACGTTCTTGTAAAAAATTCTGTGAAATAAGGTCGGGAAACAGATTTAAGACTCACTTTAACCTCTTGAGTGAGTCAGTGGAACGGTCAAACATGAATCCTTAAATGTGCAGCAGGCTGGAATATAACGTTTTAACAGACATCTCACTGTCAAACCTAAAGACTGGATATTAAATCTGAAGCATTCTTTGTAACGGCCAGCAGGAGGCAACAACTCTGGTTGCTACCATTATTAGCATGTAGCGTCCCTCTGTTTCTCAGACTCACATTCGTCATGTCCACTTTCAAAATACCAAAATATTCAGTGTTTATTTTTGATTTTCTTAGGTTAGATAACGTTAAGTTCTTGTAATATTATTTAGTTAGGGTTTAGTTGAGTTTTAGTCTAGGTTATGTTTCACTTATGTCTCCGTGTTTGTGTCTTTTCCTGTCTTCTGTGTTAGCCTGCCGTGTCCTCATTGTTTTACGTTTAGTTATGTCCCTGTGTTCTGTGTAGTTATTGTCTGCGTATTTCATGTTCTCAAGCTTGTGTTGTCATGTTTACATCTGTCCATGTTTCATGTTTTATTTTGAAAGTTTTGTGTTCCCATGTTCAGTGTGTTTAGTTTTGCTTCCCCTGTGGTGTCAGGTTCATCTGTGTCAGCTGTGTTTCCCAGATGTTTCTTTTCCCCTCATTACCCTTCTGTGTATTTAAGTCCTCTGTCTTCGTCTGTTCAGGGTCGGGTCGTCTGTTTGTCTTGCATCACGTCTCTCCAGGTTTCAGGTTGTTTGTCATGTGTTTTTTTTTTTTCACACGCCATAGTTCCACTTCCACCTTTTAGATTCATCTTCATGGTCATTCTTTCTTGTCACAGTTTTCATAGTTAATCTTAGTTTGTTCCCAGTTTAGCTTTTAGTTTTATTTTATGTTCATGTATCTTTAGCCAAATAAATGGCTCGCCTTTGGCTATACTGAGTTTACTCTCCCGTGTCTGTTGGATCAGCTCCGCAAACATACTGGCTGCACAGCCGTGACACAGTGGGAGGTTTTGCAGTGTCTACAGTAAGCAATGAGCGATATCGCTGTCCACTCTCTGTTTTAAGTACTGGCCAATCAGACGAGCATAGACCACACCTCTTAATCTTTAAATTCAAGTATTTTCAGTCCCATTGCTTCAGGCATATAAAATTAAGCTAGCTAGCTCACTGGATTGAAGTATAATACTGTAATGGGATGCCACTCACTGACTGGTCATAAAATATCTTCCCGACTAGATATTCCACAATCAAATGTGACGGGTATTATTGGAGAGTGGAAGCATTTAGGAACCACAGCAACTCATCCAGCGATGTAATGTCAGACCAGATAAAGTTACAGAGCAGGGTTAGTACCTCAGTAACTGCAGGCATCCAAACCTCATCTGGCATTAACATCAGCACAAAAGTTGTGTGCTGGGAGCGTCAATACAATTTAATTGAATTAGACTCAGTGGCTGAGCAGCTCTTGTACATGCAAACAGTACTTTTGGTCGTGCAGTGTATGCTCTGTGTTGTTTGTTGTTTCCTATACTGTACATTACACTTTTGATCTGGTTGGAAGTGGCAAAAATGCACAACTAGCCAAAGCAGGGGCTAGGTTTTCCAGTCCTGGAAGTGGGAAGGGAGCAGAAAAGTTTTTTGTTCAAAGGAATTAAACACATGTTACCTAGCTCATTTTTAATCAAGACTACATTAAGGAATCATTAGTATCAGTTCTGTTCTCAAAGGCAGTGATTGCATCAATACTGCCTATATGGTGCAAATGCGATCATTTGGCACGCTGAATACAGTAATGTACAGTTGTTCACATTCTTTACCATCTATGTGTTTTACAGTATCAATATAAATCAGTCTGCTCTTGTTGCATCAGTGAAAATCATTATTTCCACCTTCAAAACTTTTCTTCTCCTTTTTAACAGCAGTGAACTTTTTAAACTACATAAATGTGTAATCAAACTGTTATTAGTACTATAAGTATTAATGAATACAACAGCTGAAAAGACCAGGAAGATTTTCTGAAACCTCTCTCGTGTTCATATTTGTTCAAACTCTGCTGAGAACAAGTACCGAGAGGTCTGTTTTCGTAGCCACGTTTGAATTTTAACCTCGTGTACAATATTTATCATGTTTGCTTCTCGGGCGCTTCAATTCTGTGATTTTTGCACAGATCAAATAACTTGTCTCTCCTCTTTCCCCCAATCCCATGAAAGAGCATGAATCCAGTATGCACAGAGGAGTTTGAGATTTAGAGTTGTTTTCGTAGTCTTGCCATGACTTTCCCTGTCTTCTCCCCTCACCTCCTCTGTACCGTAGATGCTTTTTGTCAGACTCTTGTCGACACCCTGGAGAGCACACCTGGTCTGCGCTACATTTGGAGCACCTTCAAGCCATTATTGCAGGGGAAAGTCCTCTACACACCTGATACACCTGCTGCTCGTCTCCTGGTGAAAGAAGTAGGTCTAGAGGGAAAAAGAAAGGTTTCTATATGTATGCTGACTTTTTGTGAACTTGAAAAGAATATATTGCTCTGGTCAGTATAAGTTTGCAATGAAAGGTTCAAGCCACTATATCTATATTTATATATTCTTTTGTAAATTAAGAGTTAGCATGCAAATATATGTAAATCTTGCATACATAGGACCAGACTATGTATGCAAGATGGTAGAAGGTACCTGCAATCTGTCTATGAAAACAAAAAAGGAGGATGTCACGCATTAGTGCAGAGCTGGAAAATAAAACATTTAATCAGAGGGCTTGTTCATGCAATGCAATAAATATATATTGTTTTCAAAGACACGACATTTGTGCATGAGATTTGCATCGTTTTGATAGCTGCGTAACCAAAACAAACAACAGACATGCTGTGAGAATTTTGCATTGAAAATACATAACGAGCATGAGGAAAACCTGCCGACTTCACAGCGAGCGGCCCGGTGTTGGCGCAGGAGGCCCTCTTCACTCCAGACATAGTCGGGGTGTTTACAAGTGAATGTTCAGTGGTAAATAACCCCATTTACATTCAACACCGCGGGGGGGATGGCAGTGTTACAGTGTGATGAGTTCCCAGGGAGATTAGCTGAAAGTGCAGTTGTGGAGTGCTTTCATGTTTGTATTGGCGCAGCGAGTATGTTTTCGGTGAGAAGGTGAGACAAATGTGTAAAATTATAGATTATTGTTTTCTGTGTTTCAGGCAAATAGGACCTTTAACGCCTTGGCTATGTTAAGGGAGCTGGCTGACTCTTGGGATGAACTCGGACCGCGTGTTTGGGATTTTCTGCAAAATAGCTCACAAGTCAATACAATACGGGTGAGACTCTCGATGGTTGTTTATTTTATGTAATGTTGCACACATTACCATGGTTGGTTTGTACAGTATGTTAAACATGGTCAAAGTTTCTGAACTTTACATTGCTGGGTTTTTTGTTTTTTACTACTCTTGGATTTGTGACATCATAGAGCAGGGATGTCTCACCCATGTACACTGTGGGACGCATAGCATAGCATCTTTATTTATAACGCACTTTACATCCAACAATGTTGGCCAAAGTGCTACAAATATAAAACAAAGAGAAAACAGTTTAAATTACATATAGAATATCTTAAAATTCAAAATAATATAATTAATAAGAAACTAATTAAGAGACATCAACAAGTCCTGCTGTTCTGAAAGCCAAGGTAAATAAATGTGTTTTAAGACGTGATTTAAAAACAGATATGGAAGGTGCCTGTCTAACATGTGAAAGCAACTCCTTCCACAATCTTGGTGCTGCCGCAGCAAACGCCCGATCCCCTCTGAGCTCACGATTAGTCCTGGGCACGCTCAGGAGGAGCTGGTCTGCCGACCTGAGGGACCGGGAAGGTATGTATGGATGAAGAAGCTCAGAGAGGTACAGAGGGGCAGCATTGGACAAACATTTAAAAACAAATAAAAGCAGCTTAAAATGGATCCTAAAACGCACGGGCAGCCAATGAAGTGCATATAAAACTGGGGCGATATGCTCGCATCTACGAGTGCCGGTTAAAAGACTGCAGTGGAAAAACAGAAGCTCGACTCACCCCAAAATAAAGAGAATTACAGTAATCCAGCCGAAGGGTTACAAAGGCATGGATTACTGTTTTAAATTGCTGTCGCACAAGAAACTGCTTAATACAGCCTACTTTGATCTTAAGTGGAGTGGATCATCTCCCCAAGATAGCTCCACATAAAAAGTCACCAGCAAACTTGGTGATGAGATTTACTGAAAATAAATAAATTCTGAAAAATACGAAAAAATGCAAAACGACCACCTTCACTTTCTTTTTGCAGCAGAGCTAAATGAAGAAAACAGTAAACATACATTAGTGTCTTTTATAATTACTGCGGTGTGTTTTTTTTCTCTTTGAACAATGAGCCTTACATCTGCTGCAGGTGAGAATGTACATGCTGTGTACATCATTTATTCACACCTTCTGTTAAATGTGGAGAGTGAGAGAGGAAAGTAATTATGGATAAGTGCAGGATAATTTTCATCCTAGCAGAAAGGATTATCTATAGAAGTAAAGGACACGGACTTCTCTCTCTTCCACCCTCTCCTCTCCTCCCTCTATTTTGCCTCTCGCCGTATTTCCTTGACACTGACATTACTCCAGTGTCACTCCAAATGAGCTTATAGGCAGCTGGAGGGAAGCAGACATTGGGAGCTCCATATAGCTAGGGTATTCATTACCCTAGCCCTAACCTTTACACAAATGGACCAGCAATCCTCCTTTGTCTTCATTTTCTCCCCACCCAGCCCTCTCCCTTTCTCTCCCTCTGTCCACCTCTCGTTCCGAAGCCGGTGGCTTCCGAGGTTTGTCATCTTCAGAGGTCATTCAAGGTCACGGACAAGCTTTCGTTTGATGGACCAATTGCCGTCGCCACCACAACTACATCTGATTTAGGGTGTTAAGATGAATAAAAGGAAATACCGAGCACAAGACAGCTTAGACATAAGAGTATTTGGGAATACTTTTTGCCTTTACATAGTTATAATCTGCAGGATTACAGTTCTGGTTGCTTCAGTGACACCTGTAGGTACTGGTTGAATAAGTGCTGTTTGATAGTGCATGTAAACATCAGCCCCTTTAACAGAGGCACAACAGAAAATCTTAAAGCCCATGCCTCTGAGCGAGGGCCACTTACTGTCACATTATGGAAGTTACTCTTCCCGTACTCAATTATCTGCTTACAAATGTATTACAAGAGCATGCAGAGAACACAACGGCCACAAAGGGCAACTTTGACCTTCAGATGAAGGTCTTAGCTGACCTGGGTACTCATGTAAGATAAGATAAGATAAACCTTTATTAGTCCCACAGGTGGGAAATTTGCTTGGTCACGGCAGAAAGTGGACAGTGCAAAGTTGAGAGCAGCAAAAATGAAGAAAAAACAATAAAATATTCAGTCAAAGGACTAGATGTTATAATCCCTGATAAGGCATTGCTTTAAATGGAAAAAATCTTGAGGGATAATAATAATGGATTGCATTTATGTAGCGCTTTTCAAGACCCTCAAAGCGCTTTGCAATGCCACTATTCATTCACTTTCACACACTGGTGGAGGCAGCTACAGTTGTAGCCACAGCTGCCCTGGGGCAGACTGATAGAAGCGAGGCTGCCATATTGCGCCATCGGCCCCTCTGGCCATCACCAGTAGGCGGTAGGTGAATTGTCTTGCCCAAGGACACAACGACCAAGACAGACAGAGCTGGGGATCGAAACGGCGACCTTCCAGTTACAAGATGAACTTCCCAACCCCCCTGAACCACGGTCGCCCAAAACCTAACCATGGCTGTTGGGATGGCTGTTATGAGGAAAGGCAGCCCAGAAACTTTACCAGCGGCACACATCGCTGTGTGCTTTAACTTTCAGTCTTTTACTTGAGCTAATCTGCCATTTTTTTCCTTGGTTAGGTTTGGGAATTAGAGATCTGATCTAGATTATCATATTAAAATTTGGGACACATCGTCAATAGTGGACCTTGGATTCACCGGGTGTTTCGGCCATTATCACTAGACACCCTCATCCAAGGAGGCCCTGCCAGGGTTGATCAGGCCCCGGAGTGTGTCACTGGTTTATGTTAAATTGTTATAAAATAAAATAAAATTTAACATGATATATTGAAAACTGTGGACGCTAGCCTGCTAACAAACAAACAGACAGACAAACAAACATACAGAATCTGGATTAAGTTCTCTCCATGGACCCGATATTTCACCTTACCTTTACAGTTCAATTCTTCACTTCATCACATGACCAACAAGGTTAAAGGGCGCATCTCTGTGGTTTAAAATGCCACTGAACATTAAGCACCGGACTACGCGTTTAAGCGCATGCAGCAGTAGGCGGATGAAGAGATGAACTACTGAACCGGATAAAAAGTTACGGTCAATTTGCCAGCGTAACTCTCTCTTACTGCACTTTCAGAACGGCTCCGATTTTTTTATTTCCTCAAAAGACAATTTTGATGGATCGTGTCCTTAACGTAGCCACCACGATGATAGATGTACTGATTTTTTTTAAAAGGTCACACGCAGCGCAGAGATTACTTAATTTGACACTTTGTCCTTAGGTTAAGCAGAATATGATCAAAAGTGTTGACACTGAAATGCCACTGAGCACAGTGGGCAGAATATATCTGAATCTTTAACTCTGAATATCACACTGTAGAGGCCACTTTGTTCAATTGACGCGCAGCGCCCTTTGCTGACCAAAAGTCAGGCTCCGCATCGTCCACTTTGAAATGGTCACCACATTTAGCCGCAGCACGCGGGTCACATTTTAAAAAAACTATATTAAATGGGTGATTTCATTGTGGGTTTGAAGTGAATTTTCCCCGTTCTTCTTATCAGTGTTTTAATTTTACTTTGATGTAAAACTGTCATTACAGGAACCGTGTCAGTTTAATACTTGGGTGTTAATATCAGAGCAACTGGAAAGCGAAGGAACGCTGTGTGAGAGAGGGAGGGGAATGACTGCGGTGCTGTAACTTGAGGGCAAACACATGTAAACCAATAGATGGGAGTCAAATAGCCTTATTCTCAAAGGGTTATTGCATAAGAAGCTTAGAAATGGTTATTTCTCTAAACAAAACAAAATACATATTCATGTAACGTGCTGTATGTAAGTGGGCCATTACTGCTGCAGCAAGGTTCAGTTTTCCTCCGCTTCTCAGCGTATTATCTTTATGAATTGGGTGCGTGATTATGGAAATTGCGTCTTGATCTATGACCCGAGATGAATGTAAGTCACACACATGTTCCTTACCATGTTAGTGAAAGGGAATTGAAGGGGAGGACCTGCGCCTTTATCTCTTTCATCGTGCGTACACGCGGCCTTGTTTGTGCATTTCCAGGGAGGAGATTTGATTTGCATTTGTTCTCTCTGTGGGTCCTAATACATCTGTACCATGCAAATGCATTTTTTTGTGCAAGTACACACCCTGTGCTGTAAATGAGCTTCATGGCCATAGAGGAGAATAGCTGATGTGCATCTTAGAGCCGCAAGTACAACACTGCCATCTATCTTAATGCTGTTAATTAATTCTGCAGAAAAATGAATGTCAGCTCCAGCAAAGAGTAAAGCTGCCCCTCCCCCATCCTTTTTATCATCCCTTCTTTTTTTCTTTATTTCTCTCTTTGTTTTAAGGCTTTTGATTCTCATAAATATTCATTTGCATTCATACCACATTAATTTGAAGCCTCTAACAGGTGGCCATTGTAACCAACTCATTTAAATGTTAGTTATTCCCTCAATAACACGGATGAGAAACCCTAAATCCTAGAATATAAATAAACCCGTCTTCTTGCTTTCAAAATCAGGCTCTGCTGGCGAATCCTGTGTTTGCTGGAACCCTCAAGGCGCCTCTCAATGGCACAGGGTGGACACCTGAGCTGCTGGCCAACTTCCTGTACAACGGGCCTCCAGAAGATCGTCCACCCGGCATGCCACCCAGCGACTGGCGGAACGTCTACAACTCCACCTCGGAAATGCTGAAGCTTCTCTCCACTTTCTTGCGTGTATGTAATTTATCTGCTTGTGCTTTGTTGTAAATGCGAAACACCTCATAAATCCAGCTTCCACAGGGTTTCGCGACCTCTCCAGTGAAGTGAAAGATTTTCTAAGAGTGGGCTGTTCTTTGACATTTAAGTTTTTTTAAACATAATTCTCGCCCTTCCACCTCTATTCTTTCTTTGCCTTTCCTTTAGTTATTTTTGTTTATCTGATATTACCCGTGTGATTTCTTTGGCTGGAGTTGCTTTATAACCTTTGAAGTAGTCAAGCAAAATTGCTTTTTAGTAAAATCAGCGAGAGCTTTTTTTTTGGGTGGGTGGGGGTGGGGGGGTTGAAGAAAACAGCTCTTTTCTTGTGTATCCTTGCGCTGCTATTGTTCAAGCCAAAATCAAGACATCAGTTTTTTTGTTTTCTTCAAATCTTGGTCTCAAACTCAACTTTTGAGTCATTAGAAAACAGGCCTCTAGTGTTCATTAAACTTGAAGAACCTTGACTTAAAGAACTGTCAAATGCACAGCAAGATCTACCACAGCATCCCTTCCCTGGTAATCATATAGCAATATTGCTATGGGCTAGTGAACCATCCAGTTGGAACACACACAGAGTTAACATTCATCCTGTATATTGATTGTGCCACAGTTCAAAGCAAAATTGTTCTTTCTCCAAATTGCACGATCAAATATATGCACAAAGCCCAACGTCGCCCCACTCCTGCCCTCCCATATACACACACACGCACAATATCAATCCGAGCGCAGGTAAAATGACAGCTTAGGTCCCTCGGGATTTGCCGTACACGGACAATAAAATTCCACTGTAATGCAATCTATTTTCTGCCCTAATGGAAATTGCATTGCTCAGAATGGATAAGGAGCACTTATCAGACAGCCTTTACTGCAGCGATCGCTTGTCTGGATGCGTACATGTTTAGGGAAATGACATATTTTTTAGGATTGGCATTGCAAAGACGCTAAAAGGTCATTAAGACAATGTAGTCGTGCATTTAGTTCCATACATGGTGGATGCTTTATGTACACAACAAGGGAACTGAACAGAAAATACTAATGGCTAACATTATTTAAACCTGATTTTCTTACTTTTCAGTCACTGGTCAACAAAACCAACTACAATCCTTTATTAGTGCAAATCGATAGCTTTAGCATACATGGGCAGGAGGAGGCTAACAAGTTTCCAATGTGCAGACACAGGACATTAGAGGAAAAATGTGTGTTCGCCAAATGAGTCATTTGTATCCTTGAAATGATTTCTTGGTGTGAGCCAATTACTTTCTAAAGATTAAAACCCAACAATTTGTGCTCATTTTCAAATTGGCATGGCTCCTCTCTCTGTGTTGCCACCACCAGCATTAACACTAAAGACTCAGGCTGCATCTTTCTTAATTTTTTTTTAAATAGAGGCAAATTAGAGCCTCAAATTGCATGTCATTTCTTTCATAAACCTGTTTAATCCAACAGTGCCGAGATTTATAAAACATTAAGACGGGAGAAACAAACCTATAAATAGCATAAAAGGTCATTATGAAAATGCGCTGCCATGTCTTCGTAACTCTGGGGACAGAACTTAATCGCTGGCTTTAGATGAAACTCCTCTGGTGCTTACTGGGAATGTTGTGCCGCACTAATCTTATTTAAACATTAAGGGCACTTGAGGATGACACGACTGTATGAGCTGTTATAACTTGTGAAGTCTCATTAACATGGGCAGATAAAGTTGATTTGTAGCAGCACAAATAGCTGATTAAACATAGATTGGAAAGGCTCCAAAGGACGTTTGTAAATGCAGAAGAATCAGGTTCACCGAGTACATCTGCATGAAAAACATTGTGCCTACAAATAGGTTTGAATAAAGACGCTGTTAAAAAAAATAAATTGTTTGCTCAAATGATGTGTTGGGTAGCATGAGGCCGCTGTTACCAGGATTAGCTACAGCTTGTACAGCTTGTCCCTATATTTCATTTAGCACTTGTCCAAACTTTGGGCCCGTGGAGCTCTTCACTGCTCTAATATCCTCCAGTATGTGCTGAACAAATGGTGTTGTTTGTGATATTTCTTTCCTACCATAGTGGGATATACAATACAGATTCCTGAGGGGAGAGATGATAAAACTATTGCAGCACTGAGATGTGTGGACAGCTGTCAGGTGTGACTGCCTCCCAGGATGGCTAGCTCATTATCGTCTCGTGAAACAGGGGGACAAGGCTACCGAGCAAGGGAACGCTAGCAAGGGTGGATCTCATTTGCTTGTCTCTACTGAAACTCAAAACATTTCCCACCCCCTGGCATCTCCAGATAATTTGGAACTGCACTCTGTGTTGTTTAGTCACTAGCTGAATCATACTTTCTTTTCTAAATATCCATCTGCCTTTCTCCCAGTGAGCTCCTGCCTGCCTTTTGTGGCTGCTGAAAGACTGCAAAAACAGAATGGTTTACTGTAAATATAATAGGATGTTAGAAAAGTAAGACATTTGTGTGGGTCTGTGTTTGCTGACAGTGTTTGGATCTGGACAAGTTTGAGGCGGCCTCCACTGAAGGCCAACTGGTGAATAGAGCGCTGGATCTTTTGACAAACGGTACGTTCTGGGCCGGGATTGTCTTTGAAAACCTCCAGCTGAACTCCAGCCTCCCACCTCCTTATGTCAAGTACAAAATCCGCATGGATGTTGATGAAGTAGAAAGTACCAGGACAGTAAGGAGAAGGTATGTAACAC